TTTTCCAATTTAATTCACTATTCATTTAATTCACATATTTTTAACTATCAATCATCTATAATAATATTTTTATAATTTTTGTACACACTAATTACATTCATTACATTCATCTCATATTCATTCACCGTTTAAAAAATATATCAAACTTAAATGGCTTGCTTGTTTATAAGTTTTTTTTTTCATTAGTTTTTTTGGTTAATCAGTGTTAATTTTGAGAAAGATGTTGGGTTATGATTGAGTGAGATTTTGAGTTTGTATTAAAAAAATATTTAAAATAAAATAATTAAAGTTGATTTGATGTAAAAATAGAAGAGATGTGATAGAAATGATGTGTAGTTAAAATTATTTAAATAGATGAATAGTGAATTAAACTAATGTGATGTGTAAGGATAATTGATTTATATTATTTAATTATAATGACAATAATGTGGATATTGAACCTGATTTGGATTTGAATTGAGATTGATTTTTTTTTTAAAAAAAAAAAATTAAAAAAAAAAAAACATGTATGCAAACATGCACAAAGCATCTCCATTGTTACTCTAGTAACTCTACATTTCACCATTACTTCAAAGGTATGCGAAAAACTTGTTTTAATGTTTGCTACATTTTCGCGCTATTCTAAAGATAAACGCCCTACATGCGGTGTTCATTGCGCTAAATTTTTTTAATTTTTTTATTTTTAAAATGGATGTTATATATATATATATATATTATTTTGACAAAATATACATTAATAAACTATTTTTTTCATTAAAAATTTTGAATTTATAGTTATATTTAAATTTATTTTGTACTAATATATTTCATTTAGAGTAAAATATAACGCGAACGACTGGAGATGAGAGTTAAATTTTGGCTCTCTCTACTTACTTTAGAGTAGAGTAAACGCTGGAGTGGAGTAATGGAGATGGTATTACTTTAAAATAATAATAATAAAAAAAAAAAAAAGCCTCCTTCAGTTATTTTTTTCTTTGAGATAATTTCTAACAAAATATATTTTAGTCAACCGCACTAGAGCTCGTCACTTTGGTCTCGCTCTTTATGTCTCATGTGTTTTTGAGTCGAGCGCCACAACTCGTGCTAGTTAGATCTCAACTGATTTAATAAATGATTTGGGAACATTGTTCGTGATCGACATTGATATGAAAAACATGATAAACTTACGATTAGCACAAGTGCTTATAGATGAATATGGCCATGCACGACAAACTCAAACAAAGCACAAACATCAAAGATGTCTTCAAGTTAGATTGGATCAATGTAAAATGCCAGGATACATAAGCTCCGTGTTGCAGTGAGTCACTGTAGATGATCAGACATGTTAGGGATAATGTTATATGTTTCACGAAAGAAAGTCGAAAATGTTGATCGTATAAACCGCAGAGGAATAGACATAAAATGAACCTATCCTAAATGTATTCTATTTTTATTAGGTTGTTAGTGACTGTCTTATTCCGTCCCATAACATTAAGTCACTTCTTTTGCAGCGTAGGTTAAGAAATGATAATCAAGGACTTTGGAGGAACAAAGAATTTTATAAACTTTTAATAATCACATACTTCTCAAGGCAAATATAGTAGTTGGATTTTCCAAAGATTTCATTAAAGTGTTCTTTTGGCGGGAGGGTAATGGGGATGAGACCGCGATGGCGTTCTTGGACAAATACGACCGGCTACGCATTTAGTGCTTTATTTCCTACATATTATTTATATTTTATTTAGTTTATTTTCTAGTTATAGGAATAATGTTGGTAATTAAATAATTATCTTGTTTAAGTAGTAGTAGGACTCTTTTATGCTTATATGTTGCTTCTGCTGGTGAAAAAATAGATTATTCATTCTTCAGATTTATTAAACGTGAGTTTACTTGCTTTCTTCCCTTTCATCTACTACGCTTCTGCATCAGTTGGTATCAGCTGTCGGGACGATTCGAGATGCCGCCTAAATGAGACAATGACAGACGAGATGCCCACCTAGAGGATTTGGATCGCCGAACCGACGATCTAGGGTTCCAAATCGACCGGGTGGATTGCCGTGTGGAAGGTCTTTCTGAAGGGATCGAAGAAATCCGACTCGCTATGCGCACCATGATGAACGGCGAGCAGACGAACCGCGACACCACGGGCCGGGGTGGTCGCGGCGGGATTCGCGGAGGGCGTGGCGGAAGGGGGCCGTTCGGGATGCACCGACCGCGTTCACCATGCTCAATGCACGGCCCGAGTGACGGCGAGGATACCGCTTCGGACTCCAACCCTTTCGGCGTTCGACGGGAGCAACGGGAACACAACCATGGCGAGCATCGTTTTGAGTACCAGGATGACGAGAGCTGGGATTTGCCTCGGGGTCCATGTCGCGCGGGAGATGGCGGCGATAACCGGTGGGAATCCAGCTTTCGGATAGAGGTTCCTGAATTCTCGGGCGGTCTCGACGCCGCGGAGTTTTTCAATTAGCTCGCTGCTGTGGAGTCGATACTCGACTTCAAACATGTTCCGGATGATAGGCGGGTGGAATTTATTGCGACCAGGCTTCGTGGTCGCGCGGCGGCTTGGTTCATGCAGCTCAAGGCAAAGCGGCATCGTATGGGCAAGTCCAAGATTACTTCTTGGGCTAAGTTTCGTAAACATCTGGAA